AAAGAAAGAAAGAAAAGAAAGGACTAGCTCGTACATACTTGAAGATAAAAGAGACGCAACGTGATATCTTGAATCAATTCCTCGGCAACGTCTTCAGGATAGAACTTGGCGCGGAACTTGAACTGCAGGGGAGTCTCTTTCTTGACTTCTTGGTTCATCACCTGATACGTACGTAGATCAATTAGCGACAAATACAGAGAGAGATTTTCACAAGAAACATAAATATATAAAAAAAGTCCATAAAATCACCCCATCGTTTGAAAAACGTGCAAAGTAGTGCCTCCCATCGGTATACATGATGGAATAATATAGTGACAACATTTGCATGCAAAATTAAGGGGTGATGAATCGTAAGACGGCGAATTACTTGTGAGATAAAATAAATTTTCATTTCAATTTTTTCTCTTGCAAATGAAAATTACCATGAATATATCCAAGTAATGGATAAATACTTCTGACATAATCAAACGAACAAAAAAACGATAACGTGACAATCGGTACGATTTTTTCCAGCTAAGTGACACAACATTACAAGTATGAAAGTAAAACTCGTTTGTCAAATGGACTTTCGATTTTGCAGTCGATAAGCTTGTTTCATTGTAATCCGGAGTACACCACTTGTCCGCGATTATAAGACGTACATATCACTTGGCGATTTTTAATGATCTTGTTGTACGGAGGGAATAGGTCTTGTACGCGTAAAATCTTTATTGGATTTTTCTTTTATTACTGGTTCGAAGATACAAATGCGATATGAATCGCTCGAGATATTTCATTAATGGAGAATGATCATTATGATGACGGTCTGATCGACGTGATTATCTATAGTCGCATAGGTATGCGAATATCTTATCACAAACATGTAAGGGAAAAATGGAGATTACACAATGAAACGTAATCAATAACATATATAGTTTTTCTATACTGACGATTGACATTGAATAATTACAAAATGAACAAAAATTAGAAAATTTGTAAAATTATTTACGTAATTTATTTACGATATTTACGACCTTACGTTACGTTCTTTAATACCAAGTATATTGAACTATATATATATATATATATATATATATATATATATATAT